CGCCAACCCCTGCCGGCGCCACTTCCTGCTGTCTCCGCCTTGCCATTACCTTCGCGGGTGGAGGTAGAAACGGGGTAGACAGGTACATGCGTGCGAGGACGGTAAAGGGGCGAAAATGTCTAATGTGAAAATGGCCACGAAGACGCAAGTAGTAGTAGTGCATTATTATTAGTAGTGATGCCACCGGTGAAATGGGACGTTGTAGTTTTTTACGTTGCAAAAACACTGCTCCAGGGTCTACTTCGCCTCCTTCCCTTCGCTCCAATCCCAAGCATTGGTTCCGTTGCCGCTTCAGTCTTCTATGCTCTCGTTCTAGCTCGTCCCTTGCTCTCTCATAGTCTCCTTTTGTTTAATTTTTGGACATCAATCACTATCTGTAATTTCGTCCGTATATTCAAAACATCCAACTCTATGTTAGCTTTGTTGACTCTTTATTACAATTTTCAAAAAATCGGACCAAAAATCGTGGCCTCAACATAATAAGTTTCTATCTCACATTCTTCGCGAAAATAATGTTTTAACATGTTCAATCAATTGTTGAACATATAACATATTAGAACCGTTTTCAAATGAAACGCGTAAAAAAGTCTTCTGTGAACAAAGTGATAGAGCATTTTGCTAATCATTATTAAACATAACTAATCATTCAGAACCTTCTCATTCTGAGACCACGATGTGTTGTAAAAAGATGACGAGCATGAATGACTTTCTAAGAAGGGATTAATATCTTTACAATAAGTTTACTGTGCCAAATCTGTTTTAAAAATAATTTTTGTTTCATTACTTAAAATTCGATTGCCAGTGTGTCGATTGAAGATTAGTAACAAGTTCTTTTGAACAGAATTGTTGTAGTGTATTTAGATTAGTTCCGCTTGACCCTCCGGGTAAGCTCAGAACCAGAAGGGGGAGTAGCGTGAATGAAAGAACAATACAGTTAGCACGCAGATGACCCCATTTGATGGGCAGAGCTCTACTGACACATCTCCTTTTACGATGCTAGTTCTCATTTCGAATGTTACCGACTTTATTCCCGTTTCTCAGCTCAGATAAGAAACCCATAAAACACTGCGGAGAAGATAAAATGTTCTCCTCGGAGAGAGAGATATAGTATTCTGACAACTGTCTCGCTCCGGTGGAGGCAACCGCACATTCAGAAACTACTAAACTACTGCGTGACACGAACATCAACGTTTGAGTGATGATAATCTGACTGGGGGCGTGCGATTGTTTGACCTTTGCTAGCACGCATGCGCACCTGCGAGGCCAGTGGGTGACAAGGCAACCGTAGTGACGTTAATGGAGAATATGAAAGACGCGGAAGATACATGGAAGGGGAAAAGAAATTTATTGTAAACTTTCTGCAACTCCCAAATACGTTTTCATTAGTGTCATTAGTGCATTTTTAATTATGTAATAACATTTATTCAGTGATTTGAAAGTCGTAAGGAAATGTGCGTAAACGCGAATGGTCAAATATTTCTGCCATGGGTGATTCTATGCTATATTGTTATTCAAGAGCATTCACTTATTTTCCTCGGATTAATACGTACGTGATATTATTTGATGATTTGCGTTTGTAATCCAGTGATAGTTATTATTCTTAGAATGAACTCGTGAATCAACTAAGAAATGAATTCAACTTATTCAATATTTTTTTAATTTACTTCACCATATTTATTATATTAGTATTTTCTACATTTTATATTTTTCATTCGTTTACGTATGAATTTTTATGTATGGTTTGCAATCGTTTACAAAATCGGATTATGTATCTAATAATATTGACATTAATATAGTAATTAAGTTTTAAATTTTATGTAAGATGTTTGTTTATTTTTTCTTCATTGGCATCATGGACTTTTTTTAACGTGTCCAGTGCATATTTCAATTTCTTTGTCAAATAAGAAGTACTTTTTAATTTGATTTGTGACTAACATTCATCATATGAACTATGTCATAAACACATAGCCTGCAGACTCAATAGCTTGGTCACCTAATTCAGTAAGGTAATTATAAAATATGCGGTAATATAATAATAATAATAATAATAATAATAATAATAATAATAATAATAATAATAATAAATTTTAGTGTTTATTGATTGCCATGGAGCTTTGGAAAACAAAAGGAAACAATTTTTTAATGAAACAACATTTAAAACAATAAAACAATAATAGTTTCAAATGTTGTTCCATAGAAAACCCTTTCCTTTATTGTAAAATAAAATGTAGCACTTCAATTCCAATGTACTTGATAGCCTTGCAGTGAGCGATATTTTCATTAACTTCTCATTAAACGTTTCTTACGTTAAAATTGCTTTTACAATGAGGGGCATATTAATACACTATGGGATGTAGATATCTTTCACGGATCATAAAACCCAACCATAAATATTAGAGAAAAAATAGTATAATCAGATTCCACACACACACATGCATAGTGTGTCTGGTGATTATACAGCTTAATATCCACGGTTCAAGAAAAATTGTCATCAACGTGCTCTGAAGTTGTTTAATTTTAGTAAGAAGTGAAAAATACTTGTCGGTCGTTTGTGCAGATGTACCCTCTTCGCCTTGGAACTTGTTTTGTCATTACTGTCTGCTTATAACGAATTTCGTTGCTTATGAAGTCTTCTATAGAATAATTAAAATAAATAGAGTACGTTTTCTGACTCAAAATCGAAAAAATAATTCTGACACCTATTGATTCGAGAACCAGATCGGTATAAATTATGTTATAATATATCTTCTATACATTATGCCCTAATGTCTGAAGCGCCAGACGTATGCACTTCTACACTCAACTTATTACGACTGCTCGTACGAAGAGTCACAATAAAAATTATTGTTATTAAAGTTTCTTTCGCAATTGTGTTTTCAATAAAGCAGAAGTGCATCACGCAATAATGAATTTCCGTCAATAAAACATTTTACTCAACTACCACGTTAATGGGGGGAGTCGTTCTTCAACACTTATAATGTCATTTCTCCCCCTCCTGCTTCCACCTGTTCCGCTTGGCCGGTGCGGGGGCAGGTACTGCACCGTTCGCATCACACCGTAACGCGTCACCCCGTCCCCTCCCGTCCCCCGCAGCCACCGGTTCCTCGCGGCTAGGCCCCGCTCACACCGCACTACACCGCACCGCACCGCTCCGCACCACACCGTACCGTACCGCACTGTACCGCACTGCACCGCACCGCACCGCACCGCGCCGCCCCGCGTCTCGTCGCGTCTTGCAGCGCCAGATGGCCGTCTGGGC